TTCCTCCCTTCCCACATCATGTAACACAGTGTGAGAAATTATACAACAGTTTAGAAATGGTTACAGAAGTTAACTATGAGGGTTTATAGCTAAAGCCTGGGAGACCAGGCATCCTCTGTTTGTTTGTTTATTTGTGGAAGTATAGCTGATTTATAATATTGTGTTAGTTTCAGGTATACAGCAAAGTGATTCAGTTTTTTATATATATATATATTTTCAGATTCTTTTCCATTATAGGTTATTGTAATAACAAGTTGTTGAATACAGTTCCCTGTGCTATACAGTAAATCCTTGTTGCTTATTTTATATGTAGTGGTGTGTATCTGTTAATCCCAAACTCCTAATTTATCCCCCTTGCCCTTTCCCCTTTGGTAACCATAAGTTTGTTTTCTATGTCTGTGAGTCTATTTCATCCTCCTTATAATGATGAGAACCTTGGGGAAAAAATTTATTGTTGGATTTGTGAATCAGAGGAATTCAATCCTCTCTGTCAAGGTCAACACAATTAGCATTTGTCTACAGGAAGAGATGGTTTAATTTGCATGTTTTCCCTTTGACTTGGCTATTGCCATTTTCTCAGTTAAAATTTACTTTGACTCTGTGGGGTAGGGTGAGGGGCTATCTGTTCAAGTCCCTGCCACACAGCCTAGAGAAGACAGGGAATTCGAGAGCCAAGGTGCCACTTTCAGCTCTGCTTTCGACGCCAAACACTGTGTTAAAGGACTTGGCCATCCTTTGGGATAGCCTCTATTTTTGCCACTCCTCCCAAAATGTCTAGCTCTTTTACTGATTTTAAAATTATACATATTTATGATTCTAAAAATTGGAAATTATAGAATAAAAAGCAAAAAATAAAATTATTCACCCATTAACGTACAACTCAGGAATAACAACAGTTAACTTCTACATTTCTTCAATCTCTTTTCTATGGGATACATGTACACACACACAAATACCTTACACACACAAATACATGTTCAGATACATATACACACATACGTATCATGTTGCATTCTTTTTATTTAGAAATAATCATAGGTTCCTAGTGTCTTGACTTTTTCCACATAGTGTTATATCATGAATAGTTCCCCTTTCATTAAAATTACTTAAAAAATAACATTTTCTGAGACTGTACCTTATGATGGTTAGCATTATTTGTAAAAATTATATTATTGGATATTTCTAATTTATGTTATGACAAAATAATTTTAGTCCATAAAAATTAATTTACATTTCTGATCATTTCCTTAGGAAAGATTATTTGAAGTAGGATTTTGGATTAAAAAGGAGGCTCATTTTAAGGCTATTGAAATATACTGTCAAATTGCTGTGCAGAAAGGGTATATCAACTTAGTCTCACTAGAACTGTACTAGAATCCCAAGTTTTTTCTCATCCTTGACAGCATAAAGCATTATTTTTAAAAAGTATTTTGCTAGTCCACGGACCATTTTTGCAATGCGAAGCTGATTGTATTTGTTGGGTAACACTGTTGATAATGGGTTCTAGAATAATTACATAAACTGCAAGAGCAAAGTCATGCCATTTCAGCTTAATTAGAATAGTTAGCTGAAACAGTTGTTATTTTCTAATGCCAACTGCATGGTGTGTATTTTGGTGGCTACTGGGCTAGAATAAAAAGACTGTTAAGACCTTTACAATAACGTTTCTAATGCATTTTATTACCTTATTTTACTTTAATTTTTTCAAAGGAAACATCTCCATATAAAGGATCTTTACTTCAAGTAATATGTTTTTTTCTGGAAAATTTTAATCCACACATACTAAGTTACCCATCTCAAGATAGACCCCTCCCCCCATCTTCAACTCTCCTATATGAAAAGTCAGAATAGACTTTTGACTTTCTTTTAGAAATTGCCTTATTTATGTACCCTAATCTTTTAGAACTAAGCTGAAGAGAGGTAATAAAGTTAATTAAACAGGAGGCAAATGAATATTTAAGAATCAGCATTTATGGAAGCAATTTTAGGCAAATCTATGATTTAACAGAGTTTAGTTTTTGCTCTTTACTCCTCCAGAAAAATTATGGAAAACCTACTATGTGCCAGGCATTTTGCAATATGCTGTTGATACAAAGTGAAAAAGATATAGTCCCTGCTCTCCAAGGGATCATAAATTACAGTAGTCCCCCCTTATCCACGGGGGTATGGTCCAAGACCCGCCCCCAGTAGATGCCTGAAACTCTGGATCATACCAAATCCTATATATACTATGTTTTTCTAATACATATATACCTATAATAAGGTTTAATTTATAAATTAAGTACAGTAAGATATTAACAACAATAACTAATAACAAAATAGAACAATTATAACAATGTACTGTAGTTAAAGGTGAATGTAATCTCTGTCTCTCAAAATATCTTATTGTACAAATTTAATGCCTTTTCTATCTTAACTAAGCACTTACCATGGCTGTGGCTGTAATTTTTGCAGTTTGAGGTGTGACAGCAGAACTAGCATGTATTACTTTTTTCTTCTTTACAATTTCACAAACAGAAGATTTGTTCTTAGTGTTCAACCTCAGCATGTGATTTTTTTCTTTCCTTATTGGGAACTTTTACCTTTTCACTTAAAGAAAGTACTTTACGGCTTCTCTTTGGCATATCCAAATTGCCAGCATCACTACTCTAGCGCTTTGGGGCCATTATTACGTAAAATAAGGATTACTTGAACATAAGCTCTGCCATATCATGACAGTTGATTTGATAACCAGACGGCCTCTAAGTGACTGATGGGTGGGATAATTTGGACAAAGGGATAATTCACGACAGAGCAGGATGGCACAAGATTTCATCATACTCAGAATGGAGCATGATTTAAAACTTATGAATTGTTTATTTCTGTAAGTTTTCATTTAATATTTTTGGCTGACTGTGAGTAACTGAAACCACGGAAAGCAAAATCATGGAATGAAAACTTAAAAGTTAATAATTACCATCATCTATTGAAAACTGGGTGTCAGGCACTTTACCATAATATTTTTCATGCTTAGAAGATCCCTAATACAGGCATTATTAGCCTTACGCACACACTCACAGTCCTTGGGAACAGTTACTTTATCCCATTTTATATCATATTCTTCGTCTGCACAGTTAGAACTATAACCTACCTTATAGGGTGTTGGGTGGATCAAACGAAATTATAAAGTGTCTAGTCCAGTGTTCTGTATAATAAATATTCTCACCTCTCCTCTTGTCTTCCTTGAAGCCACTCTGGTAGCAGGTGACCAAACTCTGGATGTCTTTGAAAGGCACCATTGTTTGGAATGAGTAAACTAGATAGACGTGACATCATATGGATGAAGGTATACCCAATGAGCCGACTGCAGACGCCCACAGGTCATTCTGCAAATACCATCAGTAAATGCCGAAGACTATTTTAATGTTAAGGGTTACTTCTTTTAACTTAGGTTTTCTTAGCCTTCCCACTCTACTACTTCCCTAACTCCCATGCCAACGTTAGAAGTTACTGCATATTTTTTAAAATTTTTATTGAAGTATAGTTGATTTACAATGTTGTGTTTAATTTCTGCTGTACAGCAAAGTGATCCAGTTATACATATATATTCTTTTCGTATTCTTTTCCATTACGGTTTATCACAGGATATTGAATATAGTTCCCTGTGCTACACAGTAGGACCTTGTCGTTTATCCATCCTATATATACTAGTTTGCATCTGCTAACCCCAAACTCCCAGTCTTTCCCTCCACCCCCCACCCCACAACCATGAGTCTGTTCTCTATGTTGGTAAGTCTGTTTTTGTTTCATAGATATGTTCATTTGTGTCATATTTTAGATTTCATTTATATGTGATATCATATGGTATTTGTCTTTCTCTTTCTGGCTTAGTAGAATAATCTCTAGGTCCATCCATGTTGCTGCAAATGGCATTATTTCATTCTTTTTAATGGCTGAGTAATATTCCATTGTGTATATGTACCACATCTTTATCCGTTCATCTGTTAATGAACATATAGGTTGTTTTCATGTCTTGGCTATTGTAAATAGTGCTGCTGTGAACATAGGGGTGCGTGAAGTTATTGCATATTTGATTTTGATATGATCATTTGCTCATGACTTGAGGAAATTCGACCCTTTTCTATAACAGGAAGAAAAGGATTAAGGATAACCAAAGGAGCTGTGTTCTGGCCCTCACTTTCTCAGTTGTCAGTTCCATATGTTCTAAATGGTATCATGGCTTGTTTTAGCACCATGTTGATACTTTCAGAGTTTTATCCTGGCTCCCATGAACACCTGACCAGTAGGTATTTGCAGGATCTCATTAGAACACTAATAGTTACTGAGTACTCACTGTGTAGGAACTCTGAGAGATCTATATTCCTACCTTTACTCACATACACATTCATTCCCATATTTATAATCATTATCCATATACCCTCAGGATTTTTATAAAAGTCCTAGAAGGAGGGTTATAGAAAATGTCTTAATTATTCCTCATCGTGAACACTAATAAAACTATTTGTTTTACAACTTTGGAAAGGCATTCTTTTTAAGACCTGATGGATTAGATTTTCCATACTTTTTAAAGTTCCCTGCATAACAAAGTTACTGGATAGGAAAGTTTTGTCAGGAAAGTTGATTATTTTTAGTTCATTTTACTGGTGTCTCCTGATGCTGTACCCCCTTGCCTGACTCAGCTTAAGGGTAGATGGAAATATCTAGTCAATATTAAAATATGTCCCAAGGGAATCTCAGATAAATATTGTGTAGGAAGAAAAAATCAAAGTTGAAATCATTTGTAAAACAATTTAATAAGTATTGCTTCACTTTAAGGATCAAAAATTTGACTTGGATCAGGCTCAATTTCTGTACTTCCTGGAAAATCCCCAAAACAACTCTTGCTTTTAAAGTTGATGCTTCCATAGCTTAGGTTATTTTATCAAGTGTGTTCATGTTCAGTAAGTTTAGTAAGTTTTACCTATAAGCGAGGGCTTAGTCCAACATGCCCTTGTACTCACCTATGAATCTTACGATCCTTCGGAGTAAGGGATTCAGGTAACAGCATTCTCCGGTCAGAATTGTTTTCTCCTGGGCAATCAGAGATTCTCTGGTTGACTTTATGAAATACATGGATATCTCACCAATAAAAATCTGGAAAAGAAATGTTGAAGAATTGTCAAGTTGGATAGCTGTCTGATAAAAGAGGCCACTAGCTTAAGAAAAAACTCAAAACTTCTGAGGCTTCAAAATTATATTAGAAGATATCATGTTGGAGAGATGGAGAGTTAAATAGTAATTTGCAGTTAACTCTTCAAAAGAATTAGAGAAAGCAATAATTGATAATTTCAGATAGATTTCTGGCTATAATATTAAATTCTAAAGTCATATGAAACCTAAGTTGAAATAATAAATTGAATAATAGAATCTATGATAAGTCTCACTCAGGCTGGATTTTAATTTTTTTTTTTTTTTTTTGTGGTACGTGGGCCTCTCACTGTTGTGGCCTCTCTCTTTGCGGAGCACAGGCTCCAGACGCGCGAGCTCAGCGGCCATGGCTCACGGGCCCAGCCGCTCCGCGGCATGTGGGATCTTCCTGGACCGGGGCACGAACCCATGTCCCCTGCATCGGTAGGCGGACTCTCAACCACTGCCCCACCAGGGAAGCCCTTGAATATTTTTAACTGAATGTGTGCATTGCAATGATGCGGAATGACTGGGACAGCCCAGTAGGGCATTATACGCACCCGTCGCGATATTACTTCATTACGTGGCAATACTACCATCTTTATTTGAACACATTTGCCTGATCAATATTCTCCTACTCTGAACTGGTTGACTGTCACACCTTTATGATTGGCACCTCTTGTTATCTTGAACTAATACATGTATATTACCATTTAAATCATAATGCCTTTGTGTACATTGTAAGCTTCCTGATGACAGGGACTATATCTTATATTTCTTCATTATGCTTATAGCACCCAGTGCACTGTATTTCCATTTAAAATAAGGATCTGGCATGAGGGAAGTTGTCACCAACTTTGACACTGCCGCAGCTGAAGACTGAGAACCTTCAGTGAATAAAAAGTTAATAATTACCATCATCTATTGCAAACTGGGTGTCAAGCACTTTATCATAATAGTTTTCATGGTCACAAAATCCCTAGTGTTGGTAGTATTACCTTTGCTTTACTGGTGAAGAATGAAAGTTCAGTGTAGTTAAGTAACTTACCCTCCAGAGCATACAACTGGCATGTGGAGGCACTGGGATTGGTATTCAGTACAACTGGGTTCCAAAGTCCACATTTCCCACCACATCATATGCCACTTTTATTTTCTGAACCCTCATTTCAATATTTTCCCAGAAGAATGCGATCTTATAATTGTTCTTCTTTGCTATGCATGTGCTTGTGGTTTTAGATAAACATCAATGTTTTAAGAATTCCTATGCCTTATACTCTTCCTATCATTATAGAATATCTGTTTAGGTGGATCAAGATGCCATCATGAATGGCACATGAGAGATGGAAGTTAAGCTATAGAATAGTAAAACTGGAATCATCTACAGATGTTTTGCCCTTCCTTTTATGAGGGAGGAACCCGAAAGTCTCAGGGACTTGGCCACAAACAGCCAGACAGTGTCTGAAGCAGCTCTAGCACGTGGTCTATAAATAAATACTGTTATCCCATTGTACAGATAAGACACCTGAGGCGTAGAGGGGTTAAATACTTTGTCCAAGGTCGTCACGAATCCCAGCTCTGAAGCCAGGAAAACCTGGCTCCAGAGTCCTTTCTCTTAACTGCTACACTTTTACTCAGCAGTGATGCAATAAAATATTTGTTGAATTTGTGTTTAACGTTGACAACATAGAAAACAAAACAAATGCAATATGCTTTAAACACTAAAAAATGTAGATGATATTAAAGTACAAGATAGAATGGTGTAATGGAAATAGAACTATGGGCAAGTCAGAATGGGATGGAAGTTGGCAGGAAAAGACTGAGTTCAGGGTCAGACAGACAAATGATGGGCCAGCATGGATCACCTTGGCAGGTGCTGTCTATGTATGTCTAAGAATATTTTGTGCCTGACATCCCTTGGAATTAACAATGAGTTGATGCTCTGTCAGGTGAAAATATTTGAATAGTTTCAAGAACTCAGCCCTCCCTCTCTTCTCGTTAGACCTATCTCTGCCAAAACAAGGTGCCAAGGGGCTTTGTTTGTCCCCACTGCAATGATGGCACTGCATTACTGTTCTTTATCTTAGTGAACAGATGGGGATAAATTCATGCATAGTCGGGTACATGAAATAGTATTTCCTTGAGGGAGCTTTCTCTACTCCCACAGACTAGCTTAGGCATTCATGTTGTACGTGAATCTCTTACCTTGTGTTTCTCCTTTCCATTTCTATCACAAATTACAGTGATAGTACGATTACATGCTATCATTTTTATTCCTTGTTATGGGATGTCCCACATGTCTTATTCCGGTTATGTCCCCAGGGCATAGCCCAGTGTAAGGTACATAGGAGTTATTCAATGTTGAATGAATTAAGCGTATCAGATTAATGCAGGTGTTTTGGAATACAGGTTTAACGAGGTAGACTGTAAAGAAACTTTGCCAGGTCCCCTCGGGAAAAGGGAGATCCTGCCTTGTCATTGTTCCCACAACATATTACACAGATCTCTCTCCTGACATCTACCCAATTAATTGCAATTATTGTCTGTATGTCCCTCTTTCATTTGACTATGATGTCCTTATGGGAAAGACTTTTGCCCTTCCTTGCATGGTAACTAGAACAGGGACTGGTATATAGTAGATTCAATCAATATTTGTTGAATGAATAAAAGACTGAATGCTTAGAGTACCTATGTATGGGTAGAGCCCTCTGATCTTAACTTCTCTGAAGATTTCTCTGCAGGAAATTCCCGATATGGACCGGAAAGCACGTGCAATTTTTGCTGTATTGCTTAGGAATACAGCAAAAAACTAAGGATTAACGAATACAAAGTGAAGTATCTCTTTTAAACGAAATTTACTCATATACTCATTTTGCATTCAACAGTTTCGGAGAGGCAGCACCCATTCTGCCAGGAATTGTTCTAGCATGGGAGACGCAGCTGTGAACAGAGGATAGTGGGGGAGAGCACAAAGTAACCAGTAACTATGTCGTGTAATGTTGTGACATGACATGATTAAAAAGTAAAGCAGGGAACTGGGATGGAGAGTGCTAAACACATAGGGATAAGAAAAGAAATGAGCGATTCTTGCCTCAGCCATTTCAGAAGCCCAAAACATCCTTACTCTGTAAGAAAGAGAGAAGAAAATTCTAGAAGTTCTCCATTTAGTGAAGGTTGTCACTACTCACACAAGAGGCAAAAAAGCAAGAAAATGTGAGAGAAAATCTACACAAAACATGTTCTTGTTAGAACCTAGGGGTAAGGCAGGAATAGACACAGACCTACTAGAGAATGGGCTTGAGGATATGGGGGGCGGGAAGGGTAAGCTGTGACAAAGTGAGAGAGTGGCATGGACATATATACACTACCAAACGTAAGGTAGATAGCTAGTGGGAAGCAGCCGCATAGCACAGGGAGATCAGCTCGGTGCTTTGTGACCACCTGGAGGGGTGGGATAGGGAGGGTAGGGGGGAGGGAGAGGCAAGAGGGAAGAGGTATGGGAACATATGTATATGTATAACTGATTCACTTTGTTATAAAGCAGAAACTAACACACCATTGTAAACAATTATACTCCAATAAAGATGTAAAAGAAAGAAAATACACATGTGCACACATACACACAGATCTAAACAAAATCACTCCAAGGCATACCAAACAAAACTTGTCATGTGAAAAGGGTATGAGGCTCAAATAAATCCATAAGTAAAATGTCCTAAGACTCTCATGTCAAAGGTGATAAGCAGTATAAGAATTGATACTATTGGGACTTCCCTGGTGGCCCAGTGGTTAAGACTCCATGCTCCCAATGCAGGGGGCCCGGGTTTGATCCCTGGTCAGGGAGCTAGATCCCGCACGCTGCAACTAAGAGATCCCCGCAGCCAAATAAAAAAAAACAAAAATCAACAAACAAACCAAAAACAAGAATTGATACTATTGGTCAACAATATTCAAATCACAATTGAGGTATGAAATACAAAAGAAAAAAATCAGAGCAAGGATATATGCTAACCTATATATCTAATTACCGACATAATACTTTGAGTATAATAAATAATAATGTTTACATAAGGGAGGAAGAAAGAAAGGAAGGGGGTCATTTTATAACTTCAAGGTAGGACAGTATTCCTGGTCCATCCAGTTCAGACTGTGATGGACATAAAGGTTGCTGATAAAATAATCCAGCTCTTAGATCTCAGTGAATGGGCTTCATGGATATTCATTTCACTGCATTTCTCTGATCACACACAGGGTGCTATTTCTCCATTCACTGGGTTCCATAGTCTCATACACGGCCTTATTCTGCTTGGAGAGAGAGGGAGAGAGAGAGGGAAGATTCTGCTTGATAAAGGTAGGGGTCTCTTTTCTTTGCTGCCTGGCCCCAGCCAATGTTGGAAGCCGTCTACCCACTGGCAGATTTATGACTCTGGTTCTGGCAATGGTTGGGTTCCTCCATCTGTATCTTTGCCACACACACTCTGCCTCTATCCACCACTCTTTTCAGAGAGCAGCTGGGACATGTGGGACTCTCCATGTGTTCGGCCCTGGCTGTCCTGCCTATTATGGCCTTTCAAATTGTTGGCTAACAAGCATCCTATCACTCATAGCAAATGAGCATACCCTCTGGTGAGAAATGATCAAGGCCAAACTCTAGACCTGGCCATGAACAAACAGCAAGTGAATTCCATTGGTGCATCTCTCATCCCCCAGCTATGCTGGCTACAATCACAAGTGACATGACCTAAGACACTTAGATAACAGTAAATATACTTTTAGTGAGGATAACTTGATAAATTTGTCTTTCATTCAAATATGGAAACCCAAATGGCAAATAAGCAAATAACCCTGGAATATAATACATCAGTTTGGTGTGTTATCTTGCAGACTTCACTTCTTTACAATCTTTAAAGGAGATCTGATAAGTCATAAATAAGTGATATAAATGTAAAATATTTAGGGGATAGTGTTCA